CGGGCCGCCGTTCATGACAAAGGTGGCGCCGGGGCGCGAGGTACCGGACGAGCGGCCGCCGGCTGCGCGTCGTCGTCGTCAAAGGGGCCGAGCGAGTCGAGCGCCGGCAGCAGCCGCCGCAGGAAGAGCAGCCCGGCCGACGCCGTGTCCGGGATGGCGTCGTAGGGACCGCAGTGCACGTCGTAGGCGTCTGCCATGGCGGGAAAGGCGTCAACAAGGATGCGGCAGCACGAGCATAGGGAGTAGGAAGGTGATGTGTTGGGTTGCAGTGGCCACACGAGCGGGGGAGGGTCGGGGAAACGGTTCAAATGTACACAACTATGCAACAAAGGAGGGCCAAAAAAAAAAGAAATGGCTAGGGAGATGCCGTCACGTGGCACACAAGTTGATCGGCGAAATCAACTTGAAATGGTGGCACGAAGATACTGGCAATGAAGCCAGAAGCAGCGTCTGGAGCCCGACGGGTGGGATGTGCACGGGGCTGACGAGTAGGAGGGCAGAGAATGGGTCGGAGCATGGTCCGGGCCTTGGCAAGGTCTAGGCGGGTACGGATAATAAGAACCAATAATCTGAAACGACGAAATAGTGTAATCTATAATACGGAGTACAGTGGTGGTTCGATGTTGGAATGTCCTAACCGTGTTAGTGTTGGGTCAGAGGGATTACGAGAAGACTGAGTGATGGCATGTCAAATACGCAGCGTGTTGATATGCTGGCTGTTTGGCATGACTCAGATGATTCACATATTTCAACACGTTCAATCGAGGCGCTCTCTATTATCTCGGTACCAAGACACTGTAAACTGCTGGCACGTTAGTAACTGGGTAACTGGCCAGCTTGTCGGCCTCCACCACCGTATGGGCTCACTGGCGTGACGCCCCCAAACTCTCACTCTCGACCCTGCACTCTAATAGTTCCAACCGGGGATGGCCAACGTGTTTGCACATAACCGGTTCCAACCGAGCCGAGATTCTACCAGGGGTTTCCCAGATGAGGCTTTGCCAAAAAAACTGATATCAATCCCAGCACGTCTTTGGCGTACCCTACAATTCTTATCCGAATACGGGCCACCCTCGCAAACAAAGCCGTCATCAATGCCGCGCCAGCCGGGCCTCTGTTCCCCTGCCTACCCAAAAACTCATACGCCCATCAGCACTTGTCACTTGACTCACATAACAGAGCTACTTTAGTTCGTCGGCGGCCGCTCATTGACTCGATAAACCTCATCTCCTAGCCTTGCGGGGCCGCCCGCACCCATCCAACTGGTGGACGACCGCCGTTTGTCAGTGACTCACGGCGTCAGTCACACCACCTCAACCTCTTACGAGGCGGGACCATGCTATCCAGACCCATTGGCGGAACAATTACACCAAGTACATTTCGAATCGTCAGATTTCAATCGACATCGACACCATAATCAGTCTCACCACCAAACTTGATATATATAACCGCTGCGCCGCCCTGCCTTCCAGCAGTTGACCAGCAGCCAGCACATCAGCTACGTCATCACAATGGCCGCCTTTACACCCATCTCGCTCGACACCGCCGAGAGCATTGCCCGCTACTCACCTACCCCCAACGACACGGCCCTCCAGATTGAAAAGGTCCAGGTCGAGCACCGTCTCCAGCTCATCAACGCCTGGCGCATCCCGCCCGGCTCCACGATTCTCGAGATTGGCTGCGGCCAGGGCACCTGCACCACCGTCCTGGCCACCGCCGCGGGCCCCAACGGCCATGTCGATGCCGTCGACCCCGGCCCCCCGGACTATGGCTCGCCGTACACGCTGGCCCAGGCCCAGGCCATCATCAGCGCCGGCACCCTCGGCGACCGCATCACCTGGCACAATGCCGAGCCCACAGACGTCCTGGCCACGTCGGGCGACAAGGTCTGGGACTATGCCGTCTTCTCGCACTGCATCTGGTACTTTGACAACCGCGACGTGCTGTCCACGATCCTCCGCGCCATGCAGGGCCGCGTCGGCGCCGTGCTGGTCGCCGAGTACGCCCTCACGGCCACCGAGCGCGATGCGCAGCCCCATCTCCTCTCCGCCATTGCTAGAGCCGCGCTCGAGGCGCACAACCCTTCCAGCACGGCCAATATTCGTTGTCTGCTGAGCCCGGCTGGTATCAAGGAGATTGCCGAAGCGTCTGGATTGAAAGTCGGCGACGAGTCCATTATTGTTCCCGCCGCGGGCTTGCTAGATGGTGTGTGGGAGTCGGGCGAGGTTCGCAGCAAGAGCTTTGTGGACGAGGTCGGCAAGCGCATTACTTCGCCCCGCGTCAAGGAGATGCTTCTGTCGTCCCGCGAGGCTGTCATTGCTTCGCATGCTGCCATGAATGGCCGCAAAACACGCACAATGGACGTCTGGGTGGCGTCTTTCACCCCAGTCGAATAAAATCGGGCAAAAAGCTACATTTGTAAATACAACTTCCAAACATGTCTATACTACAGTTCTCGAGTTCCTGTCTACTACGCGCTCTCCAATTTCTGTTGCATGTAGTCATCCTCGTACGGCACCTGGCCCAGCGACTTCCAGCACTGGGCCGCCATGAGCTCCTCCTTCTTCTCCTTGCTGCGGAAGAGGATATCGCATTTGCCATCACTCAGATGCGAGACCGAGCGGTCCTGGTATGCCGTTAGCAACTGCCCGATGCGACCGCGCAGGTCAACGCTTACCAGTCCCAGGGTCAACTTGATGAAGCTCTCCGGCCAGCTGTGTCGGTACTCGTGCTGCGGCTTCTTGCCCTCAATCGCGAGCAGGATGTTCTCGGCTGCCACGATGGACTGCGCCATGGCCGAACGCGCATTGGGCGTTGGAACGTCTGTATCCGTGACATCACCGCAGCTGTAGATATTTTGGAACGCTTCGTCCACCAGCTGCAGGCTGGGCTTCACCTTGATGTAGCCCGACGACGAGATGGATGCTGGCGACAGCGTCGAGAGGATCGACGAATTCGGCTTTTGACCTGTGCAGTTGATCTAGAGAAATATGTCAGAAGCGGAAAACAAGGGGCGGGAATCGGCGTTGAAGTCTTACAAAACAGCCGCAGTCTATTTTGCGACCAGACTTGAGTGTCACTGTGCCGTTGACATCGTCTTCTTCAATGACACGATCCTCCAGAATTACCTCGACTTCGAGTCGGGTCAATCCCTCCATGGCGGCCGTCTGCAACTCTTTGCCAAACCGATGCATCGGCGCGGCGCGCGAATGCACCAAGATAATATGCTTATCCGGGTAAAGGCTCTTTGCGTCCGTCGCCACCTCGACGCCCGCGGCACCACCGCCCACGACGACGACCGTCTCTGCCCGTGCAATACGCTGCTGCATCGCGCGCAACAGCTCGACGCCCTCGCTCTTGTCCGTATTGTTCACGCGCGACGGCAGCCCGCTCTGCACCGCGGCGCCCGTGGCAATCACCAGGTACTGGTAGGGGATGCTCTCGCCCGTGTCCTGCAGCACGACGTCGGACGCGGTGATGCGGGCAGCGCGGCCGCGGATCCAGTGCAGCGCGCCGTCGACGGCGTCGGCGTACCTGCCGTACGGGACAAAGGCCTTGTGCTCGTGGCCGTGCGGCACGACGCAGAAGCGCGGCAGCACCCAGGTGAACTGGAAGTGGCTGTTGGGCTCGACGACGACGACGCGGTGCGTGCTGTCGGGCGGCAGCGAGCGCGCCAGGATGCGCGCCGCGTAGTGGCCCGCAAACGAGGCGCCGATGACAACGATGTTGTGCGTGCGCTCGCCGGACGGTGTCGAGCCCGTCTTCTTCGCCTGGTTGCGGACGCGCCGGAAGCGCAGCAGTCGGCGGATCTCCCCGCCCATGATGCGGGCGAAGATGCACACGAGCTTGACGTACAAGACGGCCTTGCTCAGCATTTTTGCGGCTGCTGTGAGTGTGGATGTTGTGATTGTGCGATGTAAGAGGAAACGATAAAAGAAGACGGAGCCCCCAGGAGCAGTAGTATCGATATGTATTTTGATCGTCTGCGGCCGACTCGGACCTGTGCCCGAGCTGACGAGACGGCTATAATTTCCCGTCGTTTTCGGCGCTGCGAACAAGTCCCTGGTCATACGTGGCGCCCTCCGACTCTAGCCCCTCAATTTTCCGACTCCGATCGGTCCCCGAATGCTGGCCCTCCCTCTCAGGGCTCTCACAAAGCGTGCCAAGGCTGGGTTGCGGGTTTTGTGAAAAAAGCGTGGCTGACAAGTTGCAACTTGGGCCAACGCCTGGATCAGCCCAGTGGGTCACTCGCGTTATCTGATGGATCTGATAACGCAGCTGAACCGTTTTCGAGCAGGGATCTGGCACCCCAATTCCGCACACTACAACACTAACGTTACGCGACCCTACTTTTCCGCTTTGCCATTTCAGTTTCTTTCTTTGCCTTGAAATGGCTGAAATGTTATGTGGAGGGTTAGAAATTTTCTCGCTTACGCTCAATGAAACCGGCAAGGCTCGGCCAACAAGTGGGAATTCGCCAGGTTTGTTATAACAGGACTCGCCACGGCTAAAACTAAAACGCCACACTGCACTCCAGAACGCTAACAAAATAAACTAAACCAACTCTAACAGGTGATTTGGGCCTCCTTGATGACTGGTTGGTACTTTCTTGTGAATTCCGGATACCCCGTCTCGCGCCACTCCTTGAATGACATGCCCTTGGCACACGTTGGCATCTTGACCATGAGCGGCACCACAATGTCCTCGTCGGTGCCGAGCAGGGCGGCGTCGTGCACAATCTGCTCGTCGAGCACCTCGAAGCCCATCTTCTTGTACAGGCCGACGGTGGACGGCGACGACTCAAAATAGACGGGCAGGCCGGCGCTCTCCCCGAGGTCGATGCCCCATTGCACAATCAGGGCACCGGCCTTGCGGCCCTGGTACTGGGGGTCAATGGCGATGACATGGCAGTCTGTGAACGGGGTATTGGTTCTTGTTAGCGTCTTCTGTGACTGTATCCTTCTCGCGTCTATACGAGGAGCCCAAGGGAGGGAACAGGGGCAACGTACAGATGTAACGGCGGCCGCCAAACAGCCTCTCGCGCACCTCCCACAAGGGATTGAGCACCTTTTCCGCGCGCTCCCTCTGCTCGCCCTCGAGCCAGGGCACGCCGTGGTTGGCGCGCTCCGGCACGGTGCGCTCGCGCAGGTAGGCGTCGCCGAGGCCCATGCCGACAATGGCGCCCGTGGCCGTGTCCACGACCTTGAGGGTGTACTGGCAGTCGCTGAGGTGCCAGTAGCTGAGCGTGCCGGCGGCGTGCGCCTTGCGGAACTCGTCGTCGAGCGTGCCGGGGAAGAGGATCCGCAGCATCAGCGCGCCCATCTTGTCGGCGCGAAACGCGTCAAAGTAGATTTGGTAGATGCGCGGGATGTCGGGGATGAGCGCGGGCAGCACGACCTGAGACATGATGGGCGGTTTTGGGGGAGAGTGATGAGACGATGGGAACAATGGGGGGGAATGGGTGAGAGTACGGATGAGATGAGACAAACGTGGTGGCTAGGGGAGTGTCGTTTGCATTTATACAATGGGCTAGCTTCCTCTTCGTCTTCTCAGCTCGGCTGCCTCGTCGAGCTCGGAGCTTCTTGGCCCCAAGATTCGACGAGGTGGAGTTGCTGGCACCGCGGCGTTGGTTTCTGAACGTGTTCCTGAGCGCAACCCCATGAACGGAATTCGTCGAAAAGTGGGAAAGCGACAAGTGCTGGCTTGGCAGTGGGATGCGCCTTGCGAGGAAGAATAGTTACTATGCTTAATCGGAAAGAAGAAGCAACAAACCGCCCGAACCGAGTCCACTCACACCAGAGAACAGACTTGTCGCTCGCCTTGTCTCGCCACATGGCTGAAGATCCCCACCACGGCAGTTTTCCGTGTCTCGCCTGTTCTTTGTCCACCCTACATTGATTCTGATATATCGTCTTATTCGCTCGTTGAGATGCAAGGTTGTGGCTTTGCCCGTCAGCGAAGGCGGTTCCCCCTCTCGGCGGGCCGAGGCTACAAGCTCGCTTTCCCCGTCCGCGACCTTGAGTCAAACTATGAATAAATGAGCAGGGTTATGGAGGGAGATTTTGAGACAAATCAAAAAAAGGAGCCGAGACCCATCTGGGGTGGAACTGATTGGAACTGATTGATAAGATTACCGGTTGGCCAGGGGTCCGGTTGTTGGGACGGACGGGGCGTGGAGTGCATTGGTGTCAAGTCGGGTGACTACCGCCTTTTTTTTCCCCGTTGGGATGGGGAAAAGTATGGAAATTTTCGGGGCTTTTGCAGTAAGCTGGCTATAGCAACGATGCATATTATATTGTAATATGTATATATATATCGGAACGCTTCACATGTCAGATGCATTAAATAGCTCACGACATTTTGGCCGGAGAGCTGATGGGGACTGGTGGGACGAGCTCGGCTGGCGGTAGGTGTGATGGTAACGGCGGCAAACAGAGAACCATTTTGTGTCTTTGACAGGTTGCCTGGGGGAAATTCTGATCTAAATGAATGGGTTTCGTCAGGTAGTCGGGGTGCCGAACCGCGACGGTGCCCTCGGAAACCGGGTCGTGTTGGCTCTCGGACTAAATCGGCAGCGGAGAGGAACTTGTTGAGTTCTTGTGATGATTGTGTGATGGATCTGTTTTCGTGATTGAGTTTTACGATAGTCTATATGTTGGCGTGTCGGGCAACATCGACGACTGGAACCAACAAGAGTGTCTTGTATCAGATGACGAGATGTACTCTCCTTGTCTACCAAGTCTCGTCTACTGATATGAGCATCATGACAGCACTTTATTGTTGTCTTGTTTCTTTCTTCTTTTTCTTTTTCTTTCTTTGTTGCTTTTGTGTTGCCTGGTTGCGACTAACGTGGCAGCAGCACCTCGACGCTGATGTCGATCTGGCTTGCTACTATGCGTTTGCAGTCCCTGTTTCAAGTACAGACCGGGTTATAGAGTGCTCTTGAGTTTGGGGAATTATGCCTGTCCTTTTGTTCGAGGCTGATCGAATGAGAACTGAGGTGGCTGGTCGACCGGAGGTGTTTCTGGGTGTGTTTTGGTGGGTGGGTGCGCAACGAAAAATGTACAAATCTTGTAAAAGGTGGTTTATAGTTTAAACGTGTCCGTGTTTCAATAAGCAATTTTCTCTTGGAAAAAGTACAAAAAGACAGAGTGTGTTTTGCCTGAAAAAGATGGTAGAACAATCAAAGATGGAGCGACGTGAGGCAAAAGACGGGACGATTACGGTGCACTATCAATACCACCTTTTGCAAAGTTGCGTTTTGGCACTTACGCACTTAAATTCCACATTACACCACATAATAGCAAAACACGGCATATTTATACGCCGATTTCTCTATAGGTTAATATATAAAATAGGAGTTCTATATACTAAATAATAGATTAATTAATTATCTATTTATATATCTATTTATATATCTAAAAAGGTATTTAATTATATCCCTATTTATAGAGAAATTAGCATGCAAAGATGCTGTGTTTTAGTGTTATGTGGTGCCCTGTAGCGCTGGTGCTTTGTGTGTTGCCGGCCTTTACCCAGCCACACAAGGCAGGCGTCGCTACCTATAGGGCACCTAGTTCTGGCACATGGTAGCCACATTGGCATTTGCACGATGTGTTAGAGTTGGTGGAATGAGTCTTACCAAACTCCGCTGCCGTCATGCTCTGTCCAATCACTACACTAGGAAATCGCATTCATATGTAGGCCGCCACCAAAGTCAGCGGCAAACGTGACCACATAATATCCGTGTGGCGCCAAATAAGGTGGTCGGACGGCACCGCGTGCTGCAGGGCGGGCGCCAGCCGATCCCGCCATCGAGGACCCTTGCTGTATCTGGCAGCTGCATATTGTCTGTGCCAAGCAAGCAAGATAGGTTTGTTTCCTCGAGGTATGTCGGTGGGTGAGGGCGTGACGGAGTGAGGCGTGAGGGATATCGTCGCTGGCTGCTGTCTGGTGGTGGTCATCAGATATTGGTACTGGTGCCTGGACTACCAGAAGAGTCGAGGTGGAAAGGGCCGCGGTTGGATGAGGAAGAAGGGTCGAAATCGTCAATAGTCATGAGAGAAGCAAGAAATGTGTTTGCTCGCAGATTGAACAAAGAAAATGAGTCGTGGCCGATACAGGAAGGACCCTTGCCGGGCGCAGTTTCAAGATGGTGGTGCGGAGAAGCCGCAGCGCAACGGCATAAGCTGGCCACACACTGCCGGCTTCGGACTGTTTTCACATTTCGCAACCTATAACGCCTGTATTTTTTTATTTTATTTTTCGTTTTCCTATACATATCCTCCTCTGCAAACACTCTGCCAACAAATCACCCGTTATCCCGTCAAGCCCACCGCTGTGCGTTGACAGCGCCGTGGCAGCCATGGTAAGCTTCCGCGCCTCCGCGCCTCCGCGCCTGCCGAGCCTCACTGACCGCGCGCCGTTGCAGGTTTCAACCTACTTATGGCATATCCTACGTATGTGGTGACCATTACGAGTCCCGTAGCTGCGTTGCTGAATCATGTTGCCTGCGCAGTCTTTTTACCCGCCGCCGTCCTCGCCTGCGACGGCTCCATCATTGACCCAGACGCCTATTACACCCGCAACGGCCTCACTTGGACTGAGGGCGCGCTGCGCATGAATGAGATTCAGGTCGTCGGCACGCACAACAGCTACCACGTCGAGGCGGACCCCGCGGAGCAAAGCTTCATGGCTAGGTTCACGAATGATGCTATTAATTTCCGCTACTCGCATTCCGCGCTCGATGTGCAGCTCGAGTACAACCGCGTCCGCAGCATGGAGTGAGTTTCAATCTCACTCTCCTTCCCGTCCCCTCCTCCGTTCCTCTCTCCGTCTTTTCTCTTTCGGGATAAGCTGCGAGGGGCACGTTTTTCCTCTCAGCCTCTGATACCCTTTCTCTAGGCTCGACATCCTTGCGGACCCCGACGGCGGTAACTACGCCAAGCCGCTCATCAGGCGCCTCGTCGGGCTCCCGTTCCCGTCGGATCCCACGTATGCCACCAACAGCACCAAGGTGCTGCACGTGCCGGACCTCGACGTCGGGGGCGTGTGCGCCAGCGTGGTGCAGTGCCTGCGCATCGTCAAGCGGTGGCTGGACGCGCACCCGCGCGCCGTGCCGGTGCCGATCCTGCTCGAGCTCAAGACGGCCGAGAGCGTGGGCCGCATGATTGGCGGCGCCAACGTCATTGCCTGGAACGACACGGCGCTGCTTGACTGGCTCGACGCCGAGATCCGCAGCGTCTTCCCCCGCGAGCAGATGGTCCTCCCCGACGACCTCCGCCGCCACGACCTGCCCACGCTCGAGGCCGCCGTGCTGCAGCGCGGCTGGCCCGACCTCGACGCCGCCCGCGGCCGCGTCTTCTTCGTCATGGACAATGGCCCCGTCCACCCCGTGCGCACCGCGTACATTGACGGCCGCCCCAACCTAGAGGGCCGCGTCATCTTTACCAATGCCGCCCCCGGCGACCCCGACTGCGCCTTCCAGAAACACAACGACCCAACCACCGACGACGCCGTCGCCGACATCCAGAAGCAGGTCGCCGCCGGCTACTGGGTCCGCACCCGCGCAGACGTGCCGCTGGATACCGTTCTGAGGGACAAGTGCGATACGGCGCGGCGCGACGCCGCGCTGCGGTCCGGCGCCCAGATTGTGTCGACGGATTTTCCCGCGTACGGACCGAGTGCGCGCTGGGGATGCGACTATGCCGTGCGGATGCCGGGCGGCAGGCCCGCGCGGTGCAATCCCGTCAATGGCCCGCGATGGTGTGACGAGGCGTTGTTGGAGCCGGGCGAGTATAGTCGCAATTAGAGGCGGAATGCAGTTATACCCCATATAGAAGCGAGCACAAGACAAGCCAAGTGTGAATATAGTCTGCGAGAAAAATACGTGAGATGAAGTGAAGCGCTATCAAAGAAATCGGGGGGTATCCTTGCTATATCGAAACGCCAAACGAGTAGTCTCCAACAATGCCCAGCAAAACCATAGAATGAACAGTCTCTAACAATGCCCAGCCCACGTCGCGCCCTCTCATACATACACTCTCTGCATGTCCTCTCTCGTCTTGCGCACGCGCCTGCAATCCAACACGCTCCAGGCCACATAGACCAGCCTCACGCCACTAACTCCACGTTAGCATTTAACACGCACCACCGTCTCTAGCCGCGCAACTTACGCCGTCGTCCACGTCAGCCCGGCCGTCACCATCATGACGTGCCGCCAGGGGGCGGGGTCGTCCTCGTAGCCGCGGTCTGAGAAGCCGACAAAAATACCGGCCGTCAGCGCGGCGGCGAGCATGACAAAGTCGAGGCCGCCAATAGCGTAGGGCGAGACGCGCGGGAGGTTGGTGTTGATGAGGTCGACGAGCATGAACGAGTCGATGATGATGGCGACGGCGTTCTACGTCGTCGTCAGTTTTTCTTTTTCTTAAATAGCAACACAAGACAGACTGCACATACCGCTCCAATGGCCAAGCCCGCCACGCCGCGCTTGACGGGCCACCGCGCCACCAGGTACAGCGCGCTCGCCATGCCCGCGAGCGCGATGCTCATGGTGATGCTGCGCGCGATGGCCTGCGACAGCCCGTAGCGGTGGGATGCGCGCGGCAGGGCCCTTTCCATGACGAGGTCGTGCGAGAGCGGCTGCTGCTGCGGTGGTCGGCGCGGCGGCGTGGCGGCGGCTTCGTCCTCGCCCTCGCTTCGCCACACGGCCGGCGTCATCATGGGCTGCAGCTCGAGATGCGGCTCGGGCTGCCGCGACGGTCCGGCGACGACGTCGAGGGCGCGCGGCGGCCGGTCGTAGGTCGCGAAGACGGCCCCCGCCATTGGTTGGTGGTTCGTTTTGCCGCGCGGGGGGGGGGTTGGTTGCTTGGGTGGCGGTTATGTGGGATGCATGAATTTCCGCGTGAGATTGGGGGTTCCAATCAAGGCATTGCTTTTTTGGAGAGGGCGGTTGCTGAGATTGCAGGTGCGAAGATGACACTGTGTGTTGTGGCTGGGAGGTTGCGTCTTCTGTTCTCTTTTTTGGGGGGAGGGGTGGGGGGAACGCATGCCGCGCCACAAGGATGGGGAAACGCCACGGTGAGCGGCGGGCGCAGGCGCGCAAAAGCGAGCAGTGATTGCATCGCTGGGGTTCTGGCTTGTTTGTTGTTGAGCAGTGCAATTTGGGAATACGGGCGTGCTGGTGGCGGTTGAGAGAGGTGGTCATGGAGGCGAACTGTGCACTCGATGTGCTCGGCTGTTTAAAGATGACAGCTTTCCAACGTGACGACATCTTTGAGTGTATAACAGCTTGGCATTTGTGTAGATGATTGCTTTACGGGGGCACTAGTTGGATCTGGTAAGTTGGAAAATTGCATGAAAACAATCATGAGAACCCGAAACGAAGTGGCCGTCGAGAATGCGCCCAAAATCAACTGGTAGATCACTATGCATAAAGTAGGGGCCGGCCTCTCGGACAGAGCAATAGGAGAAACTGTAGAATAACATCTCTTGAGTAGCGATATTAGATGATGGTAACAGGTACCTATTAATAAATCATAATTGACCATGCAAACGGGGTGGACGCAGACAAGAAACTTGGAGAGGGTTCGTATTCGTTACCTATAGGTACCTTTGGGGGCGTATTCTAACTTCAATTAGCTAGGGAAAGAAATAGATTCATCAGATAATACTGGCAATGATTTTTTTTTAGAGAATATATGTAATATTTTAAGATGATAAAAGGTGCTAACAAAAACCGCCCCCTAACGGGAACCTTCTACAGTGGGGTCCAAAAGTCTGTCACCACAAGACATTTTCCATACAAACACATTTACAACACTCCCTTCCCTACACCATCGCCACCGATATGACACGACCTAGTTAACATTACCATCTGCCATCTTCCCCACTTCATGGTTCTCGATCGCTCGGGATAATGGGGGAATTGACAAAAAGGGAGCCAGGGTAGGCTATGCCTTGATGTCTCGCAGGCGCGGTATCCCTCCGAGGCCTACGTCGTGAATATGTAAAGGCAGATCACGTATGTCCTTGCCCAGTCCTCAGGCTGACAGCGCCGTGGTAGCTAAAGTGGTTCGCCAGAGAATACGCTCACGTCCAATATCGCTCCGGACGAGAGTTTGGACAGACGGTATGGTCAAGGTCGATGCCCGTCGGGAGAGCTGACTTTTCTTCCCAGCATCGCTCGGTCGGCCGGCGCCTTGAAAGTGGAATATTGTGGACTCGGCAATGACAAGAAATCCAGCATCTAAAGCTTCTTTGATACTGTTTTTAGCAGTCGCGTCCCAGTCGGCGGATGAGACGCTGGCCGAAACAATCGTTTCCATCCTTTGTCTAGTCTCGGCATAATGACAGCGGGTATGGTGAAGCTAGGATCAGGTCAACAGAGCAACCTCTCTCGACTAATTTATGAGTATCGGAGCTGTACCTTGTTTATATTATTATTATTATTATTATTACTATTATTAGTAGATTTACTAATAATAGTATATTAGTAACGATAACTATAGTTTATATAGAAATTTTTATAATAAGAGAAGTTAAGTTAATAGGAATAATAAAAGTAATAAAGAAAAGAAAAGTAAATTAGCTATAGATTTAGGCTAATATAATATAGAATAGTACTTTAATAAGGTATTTACTTAAATACTAATAACTTATACTTTTTAGCTAACTTTATTTATAATAATTAGAAACTTAGAATGAGAATATTAATATATTCTAAATAATATATTTAAATAAAATCTTAATAACCTTTTTTATATATAATTAAATAGTTTTACTTAATATTATAGTTTAAAGGTAAAATATTTATAGGATATATTTATACCCTCTTATCCTGTCTATTTCTCAGCACTATTATCAGCTGGGCAGTATTTGCTCCTGATCTTATCGTAGATCTCAGGAAAGGCACCAATAGCGTTGTACTTGGCACGACACTCACGGTACAATCGATGATCGAACATCTAGCAGCGGGTCATGTTAGCATGCCTATTCTGTATCCATCCCCTCTTTTTCGCAAGTGCACATACCTCTTCAAACTCGGTCCGGGTCATGAAGCTGTCAGTGTAGAGGAGCTGGTAGCCGCAACGATCGCGGGCAAATTTCTCTACCTGTCGCACCTCCTTGATAGCATCCCAGAACTCCTTACGCTTCACTTTGGGCGGCACGCCGTACACGCCGAGGTTAAAATACATTTCATACTGACGGCCGGTCACTGGATGGGTGCTCAGATGGCGAGGCTCGTGCAGCGCCCCCTGCAGGCCGGCTGGCTGTTTGTAGATACGTACCGGGTAGAAGAGCAGCGGGTAGACTTCGAATGCGTCGTGGTAGACACTGATAGCGTCCTTCAGGTGACGCAACGGAACTATAATGTCCTGCACTACATGCTTGAAGACAGACGCCTCGCGGATAGCCGGTGCTGATGACAACTTGAGGTAGGCGATCTTGGGCGGTCCCATCCAGCCGAAGACGTACTTGTACCACCAGTACGTGGAAATAGGGATGACCTCACGCAGCTCCCAGAAGATGCTGCGCGTGTGGCGATGGAAATACGACCTGAGCGGGATCCAGTCCTCGCCCGGACCGTGCCACAAGAACGACTCAACGTGCTCGTAGAACCAGGGCTTCCACGGGTTCCCCACGTCGTTGATGCGATCGACATGACCAGCCGGCGGCCCATCGCTGAACTCGCCAACAAAGATGACAGCAGTATCCTTGCTGTATATAGTAGTCTCAATCAGCGGCGGCGTATTTGGTGCGTGCGTCAACGTCGTTAGCTTTTCTAGCAGCTCGTCCGAACTATGGCACGGGATATACCTCATGTGCACAAACGGCTTTATCGGGACGATAGTCAAATCGACAGCGACAAGGAATCCCAGCGTACCTAAGACAGTGCCATGAAATGCTAGTTAGTCTCCTTCTCGCCCAAGCTAGCATTAAGGTTCATGGCCGATTACGTACCGTGGCTCCAGGGCAGCGCGTGGAACAGATCGGCCTTTTCTGTACGTGAGCAACGTACGAGGGAGCCGTTGCCCAGCACCATCTCGCAGGCGTGGACCGTCTCTGAGAAGAAGCCGTGGATATGTGAGCTGACCTCGACGCCCACGCCCATCAGCAGCCCGCCAACCGTCAGGTCGTCCATCTCGATCATAACGGCCAGGGCGTAGCCCATTGGGAGGAGGTGCTGGGTGATTTGGCCCATGTTGACCATAGGCTCGCAACGCACCGTCATCCGCGTCGTGTTCACCTCAAGGATGTTGGGCAGATCAACGCGGATCCGCTCGCAGCTGTCCTTGTACGACTCGACGCGGAGGCTGACAGAGAGCCAAGGAGGCCGGGCAGTAACCATCAATCGTCTACGACCGGCGGCGTTCCACGCGCGGACCTGCTGCTGCACCTCGCGCACGCGTGCATCGTGCAGGTGCGGCGTGGCCAGGAAGGCCCGGGAGTACAAGTTACGGACGCGTGCGTATTGGTCATGAGCGAAGGAGAGCGGCACCATGGTGAAGGCGAGAAACCAGCCGCGATGCTCGACACAGAAATTGACGAGCCAAGGGTAGAATGGAGTGCACTGCAGCAGCTGTACCGTGGGCCAGATTGTCAGATCGGCCAGCAGGCTGAATAGTAGGCATAATAGCCGAAGAGCCGGATTCAGAGTGTAGGCCGTGGTAAACACCCACAGGCCACGGACGATGTGGTGAAGCCAACGGACCGCCCGCGCGAACGGCGACCCGGCATACTTGGTATAGTCTACCGAAGAAGGGGAATCAGTCGTCATGATAGTACAATATACCAGTACTGGCGTGAGCACGGATAGCAGGTATTGGGATAGGGGGTAACGGAATAGCGTACTCTGTGAGTGTGATAATGTTAAGGAGATTACAGAGTAATGAATTAGCACCGACCACGTGACTGTGCGTGGGAGTGGACCAAAGTAAACAGTAAACGACCACGTGAACCCAAGGTCGCGTTCAACAATTACCATGCACTAGGATTTGGCACCCACAACTGTTCATCCCTGCACCAGGCAGTCAGTGTCGCCAGCCACTTATTACGTATGTCTTGCTTGTTTGACAGCGGCGTGGCTTGGCACGCCTGAGGCTTGTCATTGTCCCAGGTTTCACCGCTTCTACTCCTGATCTTTTCCGGGTCGCGCTAAAACAAGACGAAAATTCAGGCTCACAACAATGACGTCGTGTGGACTCTCCATCGACCCACTTGCCCATACATGCTACAGTAAGTTACTGTATGTATAAACGAGTAATTTGTACATAGATTACTCACCCAAGAACGTGATCCGCTGGCGGGTGCCAACCGAGAAGTGAACGGTCAACCCGTGTAAGCCAATTAAACTATGGCTGCACATTCCCTTCAAGTACAAATTACGTGGCTTGCTATTTAGTGCCATCGGACTATTATCTCGCCAGATCAACGCTGCCAACCGGCCAATTTTCATTCGCAGTCCACTGATGACGGGCGTCATATACCATGTTATAATATCCACCTGCAGGGGGTGGGTTACAAGCCCCACTTCACCTTGTCTCTCTTCCACATCATCACCCTCTTCACCCACCATCCCCATCCCCCATCCCCCCATCCCCCATCCCCGGCATCGGGCAAACTGCTTGTGGGGGGTCGGTTTTCTTTGTGCGGCCTTGGGATTCGGAAGCAGACCGCTGGCACTGGTGCTTTTGCTGCGATGTAACTTTATAAATGGCTTTCTGCCGCAGGTTCAGCCGCTTGCCTGTCCAACTCACTACCCCTCTACTTCACCGTCTACCTGGCACTGGTCTTTCTCGTCCGAGTCGGCCACCTGCGCGCATCACATTGCCTTGCCAAACCCCCAATCCCTAGAACTAGAACCCACCTTGTGTGAGGTGCACGTCGCAATCATGACACGAAAGATGTACATGGGCATGACCGGCAAGAACCTTAACTGGGCAATCAGCACAATCGCAGGATGCGACTTTCTGCTCTTTGGTTATGGTAAAAACTCCCTCTGCAGTTCCTGCTACACGCGACTTCATGCTAACGCGTTGGCGACAACAGACCAGGGCGTCATGGGCGGCATTCTGACGCTTCCCATCTTCTTGGAGCAGTTCCCCCAGATCAATGATCTTTCTGACGCGCCAAACATGGACCAGCTTCCTGGTTCCCGGTCGCAGCGCAGTCTAAACCAGGGCATTGCCGTGGCCTCGTACAACCTCGGCTGCTTCCTCGGCGCCGTCATTACCATCTTCATCGGAAACCCCCTCGGCCGTCGCCGCATGATTTTCCTCGGCACCGCCATCATGACCGTCGGCGCAGTTCTACAGGCCTCGGCATTCACCCTCGAACACTTCATTATCGGTCGCATCATTACTGGCATTGGCAACGGTGGCAATACTTCGACGGTTCCCATGTGGCAGTCAGAGACCTGCTCGTCGCACAAACGTGGCAAGCTGGTCATGATAGAAGGTGCTCTGATTACCTTCGGTATCATGATCTCCTACTGGATCGACCTTGGCCTATCCTTCACCAACACCTCCGTCTCCTGGCGCTTCCCCCTCGCTTTTCAGCTCGTCTTTTGTGTCTTCATTCTCGCCTTTGTCATGGCTCTCCCCGAGTCCCCGCGCTGGTTGATTCTCAAGGGCCACGAGGCCGAAGCGCGCAACGTCATCGCTGCGATTGCGGACAAGGAGGTGGAGGACCCCCTTGTCGACATCGAGTACCGTGCCATCAAGGAGACCGCTGAACAGAGTGCGGGCGGCTATAGCGAAGTGTTCCGCATGGACGAGAACCGCACGCTGCATCGTACCATTCTTGGTTATGTCAATCAAATGTTCCAACAAATTAGCGGCATCAACCTCATCACCTACTACGCCGCCAAGATTTACGCTGACCTCGGAATGAGCCCATTCCTTGCTCGTTTGCTTGCTGCTCTGAACGGGACCGAATACTTCATCGCCTCTTGGCCGGCTGTCTTCCTGGTCGAGCGAGTCGGACGCCGCAAGCTGATGCTGTTCGGCGCTGTCGGTCAGGCATGCACCATGGCGATCCTAGCCGGTGTCAACTCGCACAAGACTGACACTACCCGCATTGCCGGTGTCGTCTTCTTATTTGTCTTCAACACATTCTTCGCCGTCGGCTGGCTCGGCATGACCTGGTTGTACCCTGCCGAAATCACCCCTCTCCGTACCCGTGCCCCGGCCAACGCTCTGTCGACATCGGCCAACTGGATCTTCAACTTCATGGTGGTCATGATCACCCCCGTCTCATTTACCAATATTGACTACCACACTTACACCATCTTCGCCATCATCAACGCCATCATGGTGCCTTCGGTCTACTTCTTCTTCCCTGAGACGGCCTACCGCTCGCTCGAGGAAATGGACACCATCTTCCGCAAGGTTACAGGGCTCAGGGGCGCACTCGACGTAGTCAAGGTCGCCCGCGAGACACCCCACCGATACGGCAAGAACGGAGAACTTCTCATTGCTTTCGATGAGCCTGAGGAAAAGGTCGAGGCCGAGCACGCCAGCGGCCATGCCAGCGACGGCAGTGGCAAGAATAACAATAACAATGCCTTGTTCACCAAGACTGACGAGGAGACGTCACGCCCGCAAGAGAAGTGAAAATCGCACGCGCGACTGTGCGGCCATGATGTTGGCTGGCCAAATGATACTTGTAGATATACCCTGTTTCTTCGTACTCAGTCTTTTGCAACCCAATTTGCTACACGGACTGACTCCACTACTCCCTGCATAGGTAGGAAGCTGCTACATACTATACCATTTAGCTCAGAGCAAATACTGTAGTAACACAATCCTTCTTTTCTCCGCTTTTGCTGTTCTACTTCCCTGGGTGTATGTTGCAACCCGACCAAAAAATGTCGTCAATAAAGAAATTTCGAGCCCCGCGTTCATCCATGCAGCGAACGGGTCGATATTGAGGGGCCATTACGAAGGAATGGCCTCATTGTTGCCGCGGGGAGATGCAGGAATTGCCCACTGCGTAATGCATGCGCATCAGTTGCCTGGTATTTGCTAGAAAACATGCTCGCCATTGGTCCTTCCTCCACTGGCATATGCAGAAAGGCTTCTGACAGCCCCCCCTTTCTCCTCAATGCGAAAAGCCGGGGTGGCGGGGGATTAGTTAGGATGCCGACAGACTGTAAATAGCGGACTTGGCCTACAGATTAGTCAGACAAAAAGAAGCATTAATCTCATGCCTCTTCCTTCAGTTCACTCTCTACTGACAGGCAGGATCGATGGCCGAGAGAGACTCGCGCGAGTATGCTGTGCGCGAAAATGGATGGCCAACTTGAACATCGGACGCGGTCAGCACGCGAAGCCCCGACAAACTTCGTCGACGGTCGTCGGTCTAGGCGGTTCGCCTGTGATATGTGTCGAACATACAAGGTTTGTACGCAACAGCCCCCCTGAACATGTGTATGACACTCATAATCATGCCCAGGTGCGATGCCGCGGCCATCCTTGCCATCGATGTACCCGGGCAGGAGAATCATGCACATTTTCGGCTACTCTGCCCGAGGACCGTCGTGGCGATACCCGAAAGCACACGGTCCGCTCGGAGCAGAAGCGTCGGGATAACTTCATCGTGGTAGATCCAGGCTTGTACCTCACGAGCTGCGACGAGAGGGGTAGGGCGGCGGCGGCGCCTGGCGGCACGAGCGAGGCGCACGCTGCGTCAGCGAGTCGAGGCCATAGTGGCGGGTCAGGTAAAGTCGCAGAGCGTACGAGAACGACACCGGGGGACGGAGAGACGGAGCGGGAGGATTTCAGGCATGTGCAGTCCCTGACGCCGGATTTTGATCAGGAAGCGGGCGAGACGGCCAGTCGGTCGGCGACGGCGACGGATGCGACGTGGGACTGGGACAACCTGCTGATAAGCGACGACGAATACCATGAGTTTACCAACCTGGTCTCTGACCAACCCCTTTGCTCCAGCGACTGGCTAGATGCTGCTGCCGCTGCTGAGCACGCTTTCCAGGCCGAGGCCGTCACACAATACCCCGGACCAACCTCGTCGGCTTCCGCCATGGTCTGGAGCAGCCCGTCCATCGTCGCTGGTTGTACGTGCCTGCCGCGACTAGCATTCGGCGTGTTTGAAATGGACATCAGTCTCGTAGGGCGGCTGGGCGTGGGCGCCCTCCCATCCGACGACGACCGTGTCGTCGAGACCCTCGAGCAGCAGATGCAATCGTGCGGCGCGCGCTGCTTGACGCGGCAGCTCGGCGTGGCGGAGCTCCTCGTCATTCACCTGGAGCAGCTGGCGCACCAGGTCGTCTGCGTAGATGGGCGGGAAAATCAGGCACAGCTTCTGGCGGGGAAAAGGGCGCGGCTGGTACGGCTGGTCGTGGCGGTGCGTGAGAGGTTGAGCAATGCACAGGGGAGCTGCGTCGCGAGACTGGATGCGCTGATGAAGCTGCTGGATGGGTAGAGAGCGACATGGAAACATGGGTATATATGTCCACGGCCATTTGCTTGAAATTGTATTTAATTGATAATTTGGTTGGTCGGATCAGCTCGAGTCATCCACCCATTTTTCCTACTGGTAGACTTGGACCTGGCGAGACAAGCTAGCTCGCATCCCTCACCACGTTAGTCAAATAAGAGTCTCTGCGCTCTTTCTGAGTTTGACATGTAGCTTAGGTTTCGACCACATGATGAAAACGTGCCCGAGTCCCACGAAGTCAATATCCTGGTCCACAAGCTCCAGATTGTACGTCCATAGCATCTTGCTCAAAATTAAGTTGATCTCCATCCAGGCAAAGCTACAATGATGTTAGTCGGCTGCAACAACTCGAGTTCATCTGTACACCAACGTACTTTCGTCCCAGGCAGCCTCTTGGGCCGAGAGAGAACGGCTGGCTCGCCTCCCTCCTGTCCGTCGTCTTCGTATCCAGCCACCGCTCAGGGAGAAAGGACATGGGCTCCAAAAAGTACTGCTCGTCATGCGAGACGGTCCATGTACTCGTGTAAATCTCCGTCTATATCCCATCCCCGTCAGCCGTCGTCCAATCTTAGGGGTTGCTGGCCGAGACTTACACCGGCAGGTATATGCTGCCCATGAACTTGAAAGCCCGGGGATGTGCGGGGAAATCCCTGCGAGGCTGGGGGGTAGAGTCGCAGGCTTTCGTTGATGACGGCTTGGAGATAGGGTAGCCTCTGCGCCTCGGCTGCCGTGATGTCCTCGTACTGGGCGAAGCGGTCCCGGATCTCGTTTGTAAGCCGTCTCATCCTTTCCGGGTGTCGCAGGAGAAAAAAGATGGTGCCAGACAAGGACGTGGCGACTGTCTCTCCGCCGGCGATGCTAAGCATGTACTTTACGTCAGCGTTTCCCATTGTGTTGCGTGCGGTCGGGCTTCCGGAGGGGCAACCTACACCAGTGTAGAAACGTGAGCGGCCAGCTCTTCTTTGTCCATTTCTCCGTTGTGAACCTTGCTTACCAGGAGACTGATAAAGTCCTTGCGGCGACTGTTAGAGGACAAGATTCTACCCAGATGTGTCAGCCGGATGTGCCCTGGGAAGTCCCTGGTCAAGCGCACACGACGTACTTGTCCACTTTGTCGCGGCTGTACTGCGACACTTTATTCTTCACGAGAAGCCGGGAGGGGATCAGGTAGCCCATCATCTTAGCCACGGCGCCAAGGTGGGCAATGTTATCAATTAGTGTAACAAGGTACATGTGATCTTCAACGAGCGCCGACCAAAAGTGGCGGGAGCCTGTATCCAAGGGTCAGCTTTGACGTGGGATCTCGTTCAAGTGATGATCCTACCGCTTTCCAAACTGTGAAAAGACTCGCCAAAGGCCATTTCGCCTAGGACATCGAATGAGACCATATCGAACCATTTCACCATGTCGAGGCCCGCCGCTGGGCCTAGCTCCGCCGCCGCTGCCTCCTCGCCGATAATGCGCACAAACAGGTCGATCGTTTCGCTCACTATGCCTTCCTGCTCCAGCAGCGAGCGCTGCGAGAAGGCGGCCGACAGCATCTTCTTCATCTCGCCGTGCCGGGCTGGGTCGCGCTCGCTGGCGATACACGACTTGGCGAAGCCGGCGCCGAAAATGTCCCAGAATTCGCCTTTAGGGGGGATGCGCCGCTCCGTGCTAGAGGCGCCGTATATGGCCTTCCAGGATTCAACGGAGCCAAATGACAGCTCGTTGGGCGAGACGCGGACAATCGGGCCTGGAGAAGGCTAGTTAGCCCGAGGTTGTCGACCAAGGGGAGGGAGGGAGGGGCAAGAGACGCACCGTATTGGCGATGGAGCCTTTCCAGGTGCACCTTGCCTGTGGTGGTGTTGATGAAGCGCCATAGCTGGTAGCGTAAGACTTGATCAAACAATGTAGCAATGGTGTGAGGTCGGGTTGTGACGTACCAGAGAAGACCGACCGAGCAACGGCCCAGGGAAATCCTTTAACGGGTGAAGATAGACGTTATACAAAGCGACCGATACTGCATAGAGCAAAAGCTATCATATAATGAGCTCGCATGATTTTCGAAACGAGATGAGAAGCTGCGCACAATAGTTGAAACGCCGATGACAACCTGTAGACCGGATGGGCTCGGCCAGTCCTCTACCCGTCCAGCATAATGCCGAATAGTAGTCATTGCGTAGATTGAACAAGTGTTGAGAAACTCTGAAATGTACTTGTTTGCCGAATTCTGGAGAGATGCACAGTTGGCGAGAGAACCGATACTGCGAGCACGGCAGCTTTTAAATGAGGCCGTTGCCACATGTCATGCAGTCCCTGATATACATGCAGTCATCCGATATGGGATCTAAATACTCCATGGGGAAATAGATAATAACCGAGTTACCCCATGGAGTAAAATCGCGACGGCGAAAGTGACAAGAAACCAGACCCAGCTGGTCGGCGTTCTCCGAGCTTCCTGGATCTGGTTTCGACCGATCTGAACCTCAGGGCGGATCACTCTACTGGCTTCGCTTACCCCGAGACTCCAAGGGTAGAAGCAGGCTGAGGACGGCGAGCAGACCAAACAGCGCTGCGCATACAAACAAGGGCACTGTCGTTTCCAAATTCGCGTAGCTGCCCACCAGTACGCCAAGAATCCCCCCAACCCTTGTTCAGGACGACGCAGATTCCGTATCCGGTGGTTCAATGCGCGGCGGGTAGAATCTCCGGCGTGTAAGCGTATATTGTGCCATGGTAGATATTTCTGCAACAATGGTAGCAGTCCTTGTCAGGGGTGGGGGGTTGTAATGTTCACGAGGCGGCGGTAGTGGCGGCCGGGATTGCCAAGATTCTGAGGCTCGGTGTCAATCTGGATATAGCCAAACTGAAGCACCATGGTAATCAACGCACCGACGGCCAGGGTATCTCTTCGCCTAAAGTGCCTGCTTTCCACGAAGACGGCGGCGATAATAGGGCCAATCAGCCCCGCCGTCTGGTTGACGGCATAGTCTCGCCACGTCTGGTGATTCGAGCCATCGCCCGTGTCCGCGCCCCTGCTCTGCAGAGAGAACGGGAGGAAGACCGAGTACAGCGGCGACACCATGCCGATGACGAACCAATTCGCAAAGATCATGGTCGTCGAGTACGCTAGCAGCCGTGTCTGGAAGAGGCCCCGAAAGTGCATCTTGACGACTCGGACAGCTCTGTGTGTCGCACGACGCCCTCGGCCAGGGCCAGCGTCAGGCTGTGTGGACGCCTGGCCTGCGCCGCCACCGCGTCGACCGCCGTCACCACCTCCTCGTCACGGGTGTGCGACATCCTGACGAGCAGCTTGCGCGCGAGGGCCGCGACGAGCACGAGGCCGCCACAGGTGAAGTGCAGGTAGCGCCAGCCCATGTTGTCCGCGCGAGCGCACCTCTGCGGCGCGACACCATGCGGGGGCGGACAGTTGAAGCGGCTCATAAAGGCCGAGGCGAGCAGCCCGGTGACGAGATAGCCGACCGCCCACCAGGCCATGAACGAAATCAGCCACAAGTGCGAGGTGGGCAGGAACTCGAGAAAGCTTCTGGTGTCGATGATGTAATTACCTCCGGCGCCGGCCGAGTAAATTGCCCCTCTGACGGGATCAAGCTTTTTAGCCAACAGACTCGGAAATAGAAAGACCAAGGGAACTCACATGGCGGCAAAGGAAATGTAGCCAGGCATACTACCGGCGATAGCGACAAAGATGGCGCAGGAAAAGAGACTGGTCTGAAAGGCAAACCTTGGACCGATGATGTCGGCAGAGAAGCCCCAAAGCCCGGCGCCGAGCAGCAGTCCGACTTGGGAGCCGAGGGGGATCCCCACGATACGGGCTGTCGGCCGGCCATATTCCTGCTGCACCGCCGGGTTCGCAATGGACTGGCAAACGATGAGCGACTGGAAGCACTTGTTAGCGGCAGATAGCAAGTGGCATGGCACGGGATTGGTGGCGTACAGAATCAACGGCATAGCCAAACCCGTTGAGGAAAGATAGCTTCCATTGAAAGCGGCTTATGCCAATTCCATCAATGGCCGAGTTGACGAGAGCCATCTTTCGAGTCAGTACAGGGTCGTAACTCTTCGCGTCAATGATGGCGTCGATCGAGTTTGATGCGTCGTCGTCCGAAACGGATGGATTGCCGTCATGATTACCATTCTTTGCTTCTTCTGCCAATTTCGTATTCGTCTGGAGAAGAGTCTCTTCATAGTCGTCGTTCTTGCCATGTGCAGTCATTGCGTTACCGGGTCCGACACGGCCATGCCCGCAGTTGATAGTGGATGGATGCATCATGAACCAGAATCATGGCAAAGCTGAATACATACCATAGACGACTTCAAGGGTTACACATTCATTGCATGCAAAACGCCGTGATGGTAACCTGTACTTCCTGCACAGTCAAAATGGGTGTGCTCTCTGATGATTCTTGTTGTATCGTTTCCTCTTAAGCACATCTTGAATGGCAATGACCTTGGCTCTTTTTTTGGGGCGGCGAGTGGACAGCTAATTGGGTTGCTTTCTGCGATAACAGCATCATCGCCCACCAAGCCATTCCGGGGCTACAGCCATGGTGTGAGGCACTTACATGACACAATCTCTTAGCATATTTTAATTCCACCGTCAGAGCGATGAGCAGTAGTATGTATACGGAGAAAGACAATTCCTTCTTTTTGTTGCAGCGTTGAGAAATCAACGCGCGGATCATTGTGCCGATGCTCTCAGATTACCCCTCCCCCCCCCCCCCCCCCCAAAAACCGGAGCTCAGCCAACATGCCGAGCTCTGCCACTCCATTTTTTGATCCTTGATACAACAGCGTCATACAACCCATCACCATCCTCCCATGAATTCCATCGTTTCAAGCATCAAACCTTAATTTCGCATCTATAGTCAGCCCGCTGGACTCGCAGCCGCCGCTCCTCTACCCGACGCATCGACCCCGCCGCTCGAAACAAGCGACAACGGGACGCTGCCGCCTGCCTTTCTCTAGTTACCTAGCACAAACCCCGCCCCCTCCCCCGCGATTTCTTCATCCCTTATTTCTTTTCCCAGAAAGCATCTTGCGGCAAGCTTCTCACGAATCAAACAAATAACACTAGTACGAAAACACCACATACAGAAATCATCATCATGGTGGATAGACCGCACCGGCCGTCGGCGCTCGCCGCTACCCCGGGCCTCCCGCCGCAGGCGCAGGTCACCATCTCGCACGGCAACGCGCGCGTCCTGGCCGAACTGCCGACGGGCGAGAGCGTTGTCGTGCTGCTGCACGGCGCCACAGTGCTCAGCTGGAAGGACGCGGCCGGCGACGACAAGCTCTGGCTGAGCGAGGCGGCCAAGCTCGATGGCACCAAGGCGGTGCGCGGCGGCATCCCGCTCGTTTTTCCCGTGAGTTTTGGACGTGGGAAATGAAGAGACAGACGAGGGGTGAAAACTGGAGTAGAGAGTTAACAGGCGAAATAGGTCTTTGGAGCAGGCAGCAACGGCGACAAGACGAAGGACCTCCCGCAGCACGGCTTCGCGCGCAACTCGCGCTGGGAGTTTCTAGGCAAGTCTACCAGCGAGGGCGACAGCTCCAACGTCAAGCTCGACTTTGGCCTCTCGTCCGAGTCGCTGGCCGACGAGTACCGAAAGGCCTGGCCCTACCGCTTCGGCCTGCTCTACAGCGTCACGCTGACCCGCGAGAGCCTGACGACCACCATTGTCATTACCAATGATGGCGACGAGCCCTTTGAGTTTCAGACGCTCCTGCACACATATTTCCGCGTCAAGGTGAGCGGCCGCCCTTTTCTTTCTATACTACCCGCCATTTTCTTCTCCTCGCCTTCTCCCAAACTGACCGTGGACACCTCTCCCCTAGGACATTTCCAAAGTCTCCATCGACGGCTTCGACAACGCCCCCTACATTGACCAGCTCGCGGCCCGGGCTGCCAAGACGCAGACGGGCGCCATCACCTTTAACGGCGAGCTTGACAGCATATACACGCCCGCCGGCGGCCCGGCGCAGCCCATCACGCTCCACGAGGTCGGCGGCCGCCAGTGCCTGCGCCTAGTCCGCGACAATCTCGATGATGTCGTCGTGTGGAACCCGCACGCCGCCAAGGCAGCCGGCATGGCCGACTTTGAACCCAAGGACGGCTGGAAGACGATGGTCTGCATCGAGGCCGGCAGTGTTCGCGGCTGGCAGAAGTTAGACAAGGGCGACGCTTTTGAAGGCGCCCAGACGATTCACCTGTAAACGCGCAGAGCGGGGAGGGAGGCGAGGAGTATATATAGCGAGAAGGACTGCGTGTGCAGAGCATGACTGAAACACGACATAGATATTGGAATACGCCGGGTGGCAGTAAGGCCGCGAGAAACCTAGTACATCTTTGAGATACAGAAACGCTTTTTATTTCTCATGTCCGTTTATATCTGACCCTTTTCATGCTAAACACCTGATGACTTTTACTTTGGATATCAAAGGAGCTGCTAGACAGCTTTTGTGAAACGACGGCGAATTCTGGCTTGCTTGATCATCTCCTGCTTAGCCCAGTCCTTGGCTGTATATACAAAACGACCTGTCGAAACGATACGGGATATCCAGCGGATAGAGCAGCTTTTCTTAATTCTTCTTGGTCTCTTTGGAAAAGTGGTCGGCAATTAAAAAGGCCAGCTCCAAGGCCTGCTTCTCGTTGAGCCGGGGGTCGCAAAACGAGGTATAATTGGTTGACAAGTCATCCTCGTCCAGACCCTCACTCCCGCCGAGGCACTCGGTGACGGCGTCGCCCGTCAGTTCCAGGTGCACACCACCGAGATTACTGCCCTGCTCCTTGTGGATGCGCAGCGACTCCTGCAGCTCCTTGTAAATGTCGTTGAAGCGGCGCGTCTTGACGCCGGCGCCTGTTGACAACGTGTTGCCGTGCATCGGGTCGCACTGCCAGACGACGCAGCGGCGGTACTCGGAGTCCTCGACGGCGCGGATGTGGCGGGGCAGCAGCTCCGCCACCCTCCCGGCGCCGTAGCGCGTGATGAGGGTGATCTTGCCGGGCTCGCGCTGCGGGTTGAGCGCGCGCAGCAGCGCGAGAAGGTCTTCGACGGGCGTGCTCGGCCCGACCTTGACGCCGATGGGGTTGGCGACGCCCCGGAAGAACTCGACGTGTGCGTGGTCGAGCTGCCGCGTGCGGTCGCCGATCCACAGAAAGTGCGCCGACGTGTCGTAGTAGGCCTGCGTCCTGGTGGCCGGCGGCGGCGCGCTGCTTGGCGGCTCGGCGGCGCTGCTGCTGCTGAGGCGCGGGGAGCGGGTTAGAGGTGTGGCGACGCGGCTGCTGCCGGGGGAGTGCGAAGTCGGCTTGGCCAGGTGCCGCGTAAGGGCCTCCTCGTATTCGAGCAGAAGACCCTCGTGCGAGGTGAAGATGTCGACCGTCTCGAGCTCGTCGGGCCGCGCGTTGATGACGTGCAGGAAGCGCAGGGTCTGCTGGATGCTGCGCGCAATCTCCGAGTACTTTTCTTTGAGAACCGGGTCGCGCACGTGGCCCAGGCCCCAGTCAAACGGATGGCGGAGGTCGGCGATGCCAGACGCGATTGCTGAGCGGATAAAGTTGAGCGTAGCTGCGGAATGATGGTACGCCCTAATAGCTTGTTAGCAGTGTGTGTGTGTGTGTGTGTGTGTGTGTGTGTGTGTGGTGGT